CATGACTCAAATCACATGAGACAAAGTAAAATTTGTCCTAAATTTTTTTCATTTGGCACCGTCTGTGAGAACTCCCTCCGATGTGAGTCCCTTGGTGTTTGGAGCCAGTCAACTAAGGACTTATGTGGGAACCCGAAATGGGTTTGTCCCACTTCGATCTAAGAGGCATCCACAATTTACTTAATAAGTTGACTAACTCCTCATAACTAGCATGAGGTTTTTTCTAAAGAAGAATAGAATCGCGAGGCTCTGGCCACGGAGGTGATCTTCACTTTCAGTGGATCCTCCGCTCTGCCAACCTTTTCTATCTCCTTACCCTATTTCCTCAGATCTATTCAGATTTAGATCTTAAGTGAAGATCGGGCTGTGATACCAGACTTAATAAATTTTATTTCCAGTGATAATTCCATCTTCATAATCTACAAAGACTCATTCTCTCACAGACAGATGATTGTGTATTGATGATCGTCTATAAGGAAGATAGATCATAGATCACCATGACTTTCAGATCTGAGAGCACAATTTCACAAATCTTTGAGTGAAAGCTTCGATCTACTCTCTCTCTCTCTCTCAAATTAGTGATTTTTTGTTGTCGTTTAACACATAGGTTCAAACAAATCTGTGATTTTTTGTTGTTAATTAAAAAATTGAACGGATAAACTTGATATGCAGATTGATAGAGATGAAATAGTAAACTTGTTAGAGATGATTTAGGGTGGTTGTTGTTGTTGTTGATATGTGTTATTCTCGATGATTGCTCTAGATTATTCTTTTTTCTCTTTTTGTTGTTTTGCATCTGTTCAAATTATTATTATTATTATATAGTTCTTAGGGTTGTTGTTGTTGAATTTGAATTTTATTTGTACAGATAATGGCAAGAGAGAGAGAAAGAGAGAATTTGAACAGATAGATTTGCAACAAATACATTGTTTTAACAAATAATTTCAATAGATATATTTTTTGAAAAAGTTATTTGAACAGATCATTCTCTTTTAACAAATAAATTCAACAAATTGAAAAATTTCAATAGATCAGGTGGTAAATTTTGACAAATAGCAAAATTTTAACAGAATAAATTCAATAGATAAAGAGAGAGAGAGAGAAAAAAAAAGATAAGTGTAAAAATTCCACAGATCAGGTGGTAAATTTCAATAAATAGCAAAATTTTGAATAGATAAGAGGAAAAAATTGAACAGATAGTTAAGAAATTTGAATAGATAGTCAAAAAATTTGAATAGATAGATATAAATTTAAATAGATAGTTAACAAAACGTCAACAGATTAAAAAAAGTTAACAAATAAATTAGGGGGTAAAATTGAAAACAAAATGTCTTTCAAAACCAATAAAAAGACTTCTCACCAAACTATTTCACAAAATTTGAACCTTTCACCAATAAAAAATATTCACTGAATCTAATGCATTATACATTCCTTATCTTAGACTTTTCAATAATTTTCTCATATATATATTTGCACAAATACATAAAATTATTTTAAAAATTATGTTGCAACATAAACCATGCCCGAGAATAATTTTAGTCTTGTCCTAATGTGAAATTGATATTAAATATAAAAATTTTAAAAGAACAGTCACTTTCATAATAAAGATAATGATTAAATTAGAAGGAGAAATAATAATTCAAATTTTTATTTTTATTTTATTTAAAGAAATTCAAAATTCAAATTGTGTGTGTTTGCAATTTACATATTTGTAATTTACCCTATTATTTTTAGAATTGAGTTGTTTTCGATTCGAATTTGTAATTTTTCATTACATTTTGGGCAAAAAACCTTTTATTAATAAAATTCAAACTTAAGCTTGTGAATTTTTGAAAATTTTCTTTATTTTATTAGACCTACCTATTTTACATAATTTTATATATATATTTTTAACACGTTTTAATGTATATTTTTGTATGCTTGTCAAGTCTAATAACAACCTTTTGGATGGTTATACATAAACACACATGGTTTGGCTTATCACTAGTCCACTATCTAGATTGAACACTTGTAGTCCGATCTCATAAGCTTGTCAGAAACTCTATTTCAATGAATCAATTCTTTTATTTTTATGGCTTTGTTTGTTTTAAGAGATAGGAGTTTGGATTGGGCTAATAATGAGGTAAGAATCACAATTATTATGTTTGTTTGCAAAATGAACCACCGGATTCATAGTCTTAACAAACTATGAAAGATATCGAACAAGCAGATTAGTAGTGACATATTGAAAAATGAATCCATTAGGATTATGTGTTCTTCACTAACAATTTCCATACAATAGTCCCACCCAATCTAACTCTAAAAACAAATAGACCCTATAGGCTCCTATAGGATGGTTACCCATAAAATAAAATAAATATAAAAAAAAAAATTAGATCATTTAGATAATCATAACCACATATTTCATCAAATATATCATCAAAAAAAAAAATTAACGATATTTTTTCAAAATCATAATTACATATTTTTTGAAAATAAATATAATGAAACTATATTAGTACGATTAAATTGTTGTTGCATAATTTTTTTTAAAAATATAAATGTAATAAAATCATATAATTACGAATATCTAATTAATTCAATTTTTTTTTTTATGAAACACATCAAAATTTTGGAGTAAGCCCACAAAATCATGTGATTACGATTATTTAATTAATTCAATTTTTTTTTTTTACGAAACACATCAAATTTTTAGAGTAAGCCCATGGTGAGCCCACTTATCCAATCAGCTCCGGTCCAGTCCATATATAGACCGAAGACAGGCCTTGCCCAAATACTTATCCTTTTGGTCACTAATCTTTGTTCTTGTTTTAGTTCAAGTTCCACTATTTCCTTTGTACTCCGTATGGATCTAGTGGACGGAGGGAGAATGAAGGAAAAAGCTAGTTAAGAGAGCGTGAAAGGAAGGAAGGAGAAGGAAAGGGAGGAGAGGTATCGTCCCACTTGTTTGGTTAGTTAATATTTAATTAGGTCTTACAAAATATTATTAAGAAATAATTCACCTTCTTTTTTGTTTCATTATTTCCAATTTTGAAGGGGAAAAGAAGTGTATAAAATATTTGTATTCTCTCAACCTTATAAGTTTCCATATATTTCTATTCTATCCCTTAAAAGTAAATTAAACATAATATTTTTTTTTTATCGGCAAAAATAAATTTATTGATATAAATCAAAGTTCAAGAAGTACAAATAGATTACATCAAATAAGAAAGCAAAGCTAAACTAGCATCATTCTTGAAAAACATATCCAACTAGGTTGACAATAATGTTAAGTAACTCTACTCTTCCAAATCTTTCACTTCCTCACCTAAATTATCAATCCATAAACGTGCCTTTATGAGTATATTATATGTAGCCTCTTTGTTCAGAAATCTTTAGATTTGGTAGAAAATGGTAGTCATATGGATAAGGGCAGTCTAACTTGTAAATCATGTTTGTTAAAAAACTATTTGATATTTTTAAAGCAACACTCTATTCCATCTACAAATTCACACCTAATCAATTGTCTCCTAAAACTCAAACATAAAATTAGTAGATCACTACTTTAGAGCACCATCTATATTTGCTCTAAGAGTATTGAATAATTTCTCCATATTTGTTTAAACGAATTGAAGTAGATGTTGTTTTAGAAATTAACTATTTTAATTGACTTTTTGACTTTTTACAAAAAAATATGCAAAAAAATAAATAGTAAAATTAATTTTTTAGTAGTAACTTTTTGACTATTTTAGTCGCCGTTTGGCACTGACTTTTTTAGTTAGGTTTTTTGAGTTTAGACTTTTTTAGCTTGGAACTAAAAAGTTTGTTTGATTTGACTTTTTTTACTTTTGTGAGAAAAAAAGTGAAATAATTATGGTTTGAATATGACATTTTATCTTACTGACTTATTTAGCGTATTTTATCTTTTATGCTTTTTTAACCCAACTAAATTAGCTAAACGAAACTTGCCCAACATTTTGAGGGCGGTTAATTTGGAGATTATCAATTCTTTTAGATCGTGTATTTTATCTTATATTTGGATTTACCCAAAATTACAAGGATTAACAAAATTCTACCACTTTTGTATTTTAGTAAATTAATCCAAACTTCTCCTCAATCACCTATCTCACCCTTCCTATATGGAAGATGACGCATGTCCATGTGGATTAGAAGTCCAGACTCATTATGTTTGATTGAATTAAGTAACTTATTAAATTAATATCCAATTCCAAAGTCATCCCCAAACAAAAAATGCCTAAATGGCAGGGTGCTTATGCGATCCTATAGCTAAAATAGTGTATTCTTGTTGTCTTTTAACAAATATTTTTTAATTCCATTGCCTACAAATAAAAAATTTCCCTCCAATGTTTAGGCAACTGACTTAAAAATCGGATGCCTTTTGGAAAAATGAACCCACCTGATATATTGATTTTTGCACTGTTTTGTTTGCAGGCTTCTCTCAAGAACACAAAACATGAATTAAAGAAGAGTTCTAAACTCAGAATTGGATCGCATGAAATTAACAAACAGTGAATCTCACATATGCACAGTCTTCTGACAAATTTATGACTTAATTGGCCACGCGCCTTGTCCTCACCAATATAATTTAATAAATGTGTCCTTATCACCAACAAACACACAAATTCTTAGACTTGATACTGTGCACACCCATCGATGGATTTATAAACAATTTTTCTTATTTATTTTTTTAACTAGGTTGACTCTAAAATAGTATGGAAAAAAAAAAAAAAAGACACTATCATAGATAAGAGTGGGCATTGACATATTGGCTTGCCCAACCCGCCTAACCCAACTCTATTTTTTAGGACTTAAAAAGGCCTAGTTTGGCCCCGTAAGGCAATGGTGAACCAATATTTTAGGTCCATTTAATAAATGGGCCGAATGTATTCAAATGTATAGCCCTTCTCAGCCCGAAAATAATATATTTAATATTTTATTATATTATTATATATTTATATAATATGTTAAACAATATATAAGTCACTCTACTTCAACCTATGTATCCAAAACAGCTTTACAAATCATTTATGAAATATTTTGTATCAAGTGAGACTACTTTGTGATATGCCACTGCCTACTGAAGAAATGACACTACAAACTTTTAACACACCTCAAAAAATCAACTTCCAAAATTTTGGTACTTGCATAACAACATAGAACAAGTAAAGCTTATTCATCACAAAATTATTAAGAATTTCAAGCAAGCATTGCATGACATACATCGAAACTGGCATGAGCAGTTCTGGAAATGCAGGGCAGTTGTACCAAATCTTGGTTGCTAGTTGCATCTCAAGCCCTTTTTTTCCTACCCAATGCAGGGACTCCGGCGTTCATTTTAGTCTGGTGAGAGCATGGTAACAAGCCGCGCAGAATAGCTAAGATTGCAAAACCCAGGAAAGGTAAGTACATCATCATCAACACCTTTGTGATTCTTGAAGACAAGATCAGCTCCGCTAATACAGCAACCTGAAGCATGAATAAAATCAAGGAGAGATTCAAACACTAATTTCGGACTCTAACCTTTGCTAAATCTACTTTATTAATCATTATTACATTCATCCATGTCCTATAATTTGTAAAAAAAAATTGAACCTTAAGCAAGATTTGATTGTAACCGAATACATTGGGAATCAGAACACGATCATAATCAGTAATCCTTAATCACCAGAAACTGAGCTGCATTAGTGGCTTATCCATTTTTTAAATTTATGCAAAACCATAACCACAATGCACTCATTGGTAGGAGTTTGGACCTACTGAAAGGCAAGATTATGATATCTTTCTTCCTTGTTCAAAGCCACAGTAAAATAATATAAATCATATAGTATATACATTTGAGCTTAGAATTCAAAGAAATGGCTAGCCATAAATCTGACTTCGCCAATTATTACATGCAAGTCATTGGAATTTAACAGAGATAAATGCATTTTCACATCTTCATAATTGAAACAGCAAGTGAGAAAGAGTGGTTTCTGCTTAAAAGTCTTGACTATATTACACTTGCATATATAATCACTAAAATTATATACTAAACTCACTTTCATGACCAAGACATAAAGAAATCATACAAAAACTAAAAAACATCAAATAAAATCTCTAGTTATCATATCAAATAAGAACTAAACCAACAACAAGAACATACCAGTAAAATATTACTCTTCTGGCACTTTTAGAAGCAAAATTATTTAATTCAACTTACATAATCTATAATGCCCTTTTAATTTAGATTAGATCGTGAATTTAGATTTATTGAACTATCCTTATTTTTTAGCCTAGTAATAGTATAAGATTTAAAATTTTTGTATTTCATTCTAGGATACCACCAAATTGATGTATTTAAGCGCTGAACCAATAAGATCATAAAGTGAAAAAATCTAAACATATTTTAATCTCTCTTTCATTTTTTACAAAATCCAAACATAACATCTTCTTCACCAATTCTATCTTGTGAAATTTGTGAATTAATTAATTAATTTTTTTTTTGGAGTCAAATGCTATCCTTCATACTATGCCAAAACAATACGACTAAAATGAGAGTGTGAAATCCACCTCTTGAATTGCAATCCAATAAATTATACAAAATTTTCCGGAGAACCAAGCAAAGAAATGAAAAGAAAAAGGAAAATACCATTCCAGTAAAAACAGAGACTCCATAGACTAGGCAAGTGGAATTGAACCAGGGCTTCCCTCCCACAAGAATAGCATAAAGATTTGCAATGGCAAGTGGCCACTGGAAGAGAAGCTCTAGCCACATAAGCCCAACAAAGAAAGAAGGCTTTTCAATGAGCAAGTAATCACCGTACTCGCTTGTGAACCAGAGATTGAGGTCAACGAGGAAGTTTGGGAAGAACTTAGAAGGAAAGCACACTTGTGCATCGAAAGCTGGAGCTGCTAAAATCACCACCAAGAAGAAGAGTAACAGAACTGCATCTATTAGCTTAGTCAAAAACCCCATCTCTCTCTCTCTCTCTCTCTGGCTTTTGTTTTCTGGTTTTTGATGTGAAGATCAAGTTTATTGTAATGTTATATAGGAGGAAGAGGGGATCTTGGTCTTTGAAAGTTCAACAGTGTTCTTTATGTTAGAGCATCCATTGGATCCCTTATCTTTATTTTGGATAAATTATAAATACATCCTTAGATTTATTTAAAATATAAATTATTTTTTGTAGTTTGAAAAATTATAAATACCCTCTTATTAAAAAATTTTATTTAACAGAATTAATTAAAAAATAAAATTCATAATTACTCTAATATACCCTAATAAAATTACCTAAATCATTAATTGAAACATATTTTTAATATCATTAGAAACTGTTAATTAACTTTATAATTTATTAATAAAAGAGACGATTTATTATGAAATTAAAAATATAGAGGTAAAATGTAATTTTTAAAATTATAAAGAGCTATTCGTATTTTAATTAAAATTCAAAAAATATATTTATAATTTAACCTTTTTAATATCATTAGAAACTGTTAATTAAATTGATAATTTATTAATAAAAGGGGCGATTTATTATGAAATTAGAAATATTAGGAGGTAAAATATAATTTTTAAAATTATAAGAAACGATTCGTATTTTAATCAAAACTTATAATATGTATTTATAATTTTTCCCTTTATTTTTTAGCTATTTTAGGGGTTTTCAAATAAAATCAATTCCATCAATTTCTATAAACTAGCTCGTATTATAAGTTGAGCCTCCGTTTGGGAAGTAGGTTGGCTTTTTGACTTTTTGACTTTTTTGGTTATTTTAGCATGGGCTAAAAAGCTTAGTTTGGGAAGGACTTTTTAACTTTTTGACTTTTTTTTTTGAGAAAAGAGTGTAATGATTATGGATTGAATGTGATGTTTGTTTGTTGTGATTAAAATAACATATTTTATCTTTTGTGACTATTTTAGTCCCAAAATCACTTGCCAAACACCACCTCACCGTTGCTCTAGAGAGTTACTGTTCACCCCTAGAAAATAAAAAATTACTCTTTATTCAATCATCATCATTGATCTCGAGCACTTTCATTCCAAAAATACAAAATAAAAAATAATTAAAAATAATATTTTAATAAAAAAAATAAAAAAAAGAGCCTATTGAAGAAAGTAGATGAAAAAATGATTCCTAAAATAAGAAATAAATTTTTTAATAATATTTTAAGATAATATATAGTAAAATAAATACAATGTACTTGTTTTTTCAGATAGGCATAAAGTGTACTTGTTTACTAGTTAATTCTATAATGAAAAATATATATATTTTATAAATAAGGAGAAATTCTAGTATATACATTTTAATTTTTTTTTTTAGCTATGATTCGAAAAGTATGAAATTATGTTATTTTATTCTTTAATTATAAGTTACATACAGTGTACATTATTTGAAATGTGTGTACCATAATCTTTCCCATATATAAGGGACATTTATTTATAAATTCATCTTCACTTATTTATGTTTCACTTAATCCAAATTATTTTCTTGTATTCCAATAAATTATATGGGTGATATAGTTCTAAAATGGGTTGGCTTCTCTCCAGTTCGCGATTAGACTAGAGGGTACTGTTGGGCCAGCGAGACCTGCCACGGGTCTCGTTTTGATAATCTGAACCATTCAATGTGTAGAGCTCACTTGTAAAAATCATGTTAATCGAATATTGATAGCTATGTGATCAAAATAATTTTGTAAATAAAAAAAAATTTGACGGTGAAAAAATAAATGGTTGACAGAAATCTAATCCAATGAGATAACTATCGATATCTGATCAACGTGATTTTTTACAGGCATATAGTACTCGACGAGTTCTACACATTAAATGGTTTAGATTTTTGAAACGAGACTTGTGATCAGCCCTCATGGATCTAACAGTATCCTCCAGTTATCGAACTGGAGGAAAGCCCAGCCCTATCAAAATACCTTTAATAATAATAGGGTAAATCGCACATTAATGTTCACATTGATTGTATGAATGTTTTGTGATGTGAACATTCACACTATTAAATATGAATGTTTTTATCACCAAATTGTTAAGAGTTCAAAAACATATTTACAAAGATAAAATTATTTATAAAATAGTTTAAATATGAGAATTAGGATTTTATAGATAAAATGTCTAAATAATAGGATTTATTGAAATACAATAACATATCATGGACTAATTAAAATACGAAAGAATATTTCCTAATAAATTTTCTTTTGGGACATTTACATACAAGTCTTAATTTATAACTTATATTCTATTAAATCCTAATTAAGATTTTTTGGATCTTCAAGTCCCATTAAATTTTTAATAGTCGGAATTGCCCTTCAAACAATAATTATTCACCTTCAAACAATGATTGTTTATCATTTATGATTATCTACAAAGGGTCCGTTTGGGGAGATTACCTGGACTAAAATAGTCATATAAGAAAAAATAGGTTATTTTAGCCAAATAAGATAAAATGTCACATCTAACCCATAATCATTTCATTTTTTCTTTTACAAAAGTCAAAAAAATAAAAAAGTCTATCCCAAGCAAGGCTTTTTAGCCTCAGGCTAAAATAGCCAAAAACCCAGCTCACATCCCAAACAAAGGTAAAGAAACATGATGATTTGACATTTATTTTGATTTTCAAAGCTTTAAAACATCAACTTTCAAATTGACAAAATTTTAAAAAAATTATGTGCAAAAAAAAAAAATTTAAAAAATTGAATTATTTTTTTTGTGCAAAATTGAAATTTTTGTGTCTATAAAGAAGCATGATGATGGAACATTGATGTTAAACAAAAAAATTAAAATGAAAAAATTGATAACGTTCTTAGTTTTATTGGATAGTTGAATCAAACTAATAAGTAGAAGGACAAAAACGTTTAATCTCATACTCTGTTTTTTTTTATCAGTTAATGAACCAATTATTTGGAACATTACTATGTAAATTTGATAATATTCTTAATTTTAAAAATTGAGAAAACTGATAATATTATCAATTTTACAAAATAGGATTTATTGGTTCAAAAAATCTTATATGAGACTTAAGTTACCATAACATTTGTAAATAAAACTTTTAAGTAATTAACTCTTTTATTTTCTTTTATAATATCCCAAAAATACTTAATCCATTAACTTCCATGACCCAAATCAGTAATATTTCTTTACAACACTTAATTAAAAAAATGCTAAATAAAAATATTATTTGTAAATCCTGATAAAAGTAAAATAAAGACCTCATTTGGCAATATTACTTTTTAGTCTAAAAATTAAAAGGTCACTAAAAAAATTAAAAAGCCAACAATCTATATCAAAAAATCAAAGATTCATTTTTTTCTCTACTTTTTGCATATCTTTTTGTGAAAAATTAAAAAATCATCCCAAATATAATAATTATTTTTACTTTATATTTTAGTTAAAAAATTAAAATATCACTAAAATAATCTATTCCGCCAAAAGTCTTCTTGAATTATAATAATATGCCAGACAAACCGTTTTAAAACTCTTTTGTACTCCTATCAAATTATAACAGTAATTTAAGTATTACCGTTATAAAACTCTTTAAATATTACTTAACACATGTTTCGCGTGGTCAGGGGGTCTGGCTTTATTCCAATAGAAAAGGAAATAAGAAAGTTGAAGAGAGATGAGTGCAATTACATTAAACAAATAAACAAATAAATGATTTTATTTAGGATAATTTACACTGACCCACCTAAAAATTTAATAAAATTGTAAAAACCTATCTTGAAATTTTAGAAATAACAAAAACCTTTATCAAACAGAAAAGGTTAACATAATATATATATATATGGCCACAGTATTGTTACCCCCGGCGAGGCCACGTGAACTAAGGATGCACAACATACTTTTCAGAAAATTGGACATTCATTACATAATTCGTAGATAGCATTTCAGAAAAAAGATCATACCATACTAGTCAAGAAAATCTTAAGTAAACATAACATTACAGAGTAATTAACTCATAGTGGGCTCGGAGACAGACAGAGTGAGCAGATTGACAGACAGGACGTAGCACGTGACCTACACACATATAACAGATACACACTTGAAAAACACGTTCTTAAGTGTACAAAACTTATTTCGTTAGTCTTAGTGTGTTTCTAATCTCTTATCCTTATTATAGAGGTTGTAAACATGGCCTAGGAATCCTTTAGGTATGGAATAAGGCAAAGATGCACTTTTTTAAAACACTTTTCAAAACCTTTGCTGAAACAGGGGTCCCACTCGAGCGTGGCTTATCGCTCGAGCGGACATGGCAGACAAAAGGAATCTGCTCGAGTGTGATTACTCCGCTCGAGCGGATTGCAAGCTACACAAAAGTTGCTGGATGGCAAGAAATTCAAACTTTATATATATATATATATATATTTGTAAGCCGCTTTCTGTTTGATAAAGGTTTTGTTATGTCTAAAATTTCAAGATAGGTTTTTACAAATTTTATTAAATTTTTAGGTGTGGTTCATGTGTAAATTACATCTAATAAAATCATTTTCATTGTATTGTTAATTACCACGTAATTGCACTCATCTCTCTTCAACTTTCTTATTTCCTTTTTCTATTGGAATAAAGGCCAGACCCCTGACCACGCGAACCATGTGTTAAGTAATATTTAAAGCAGTTTTATAACGGTAATACTTAAATTACTGTTATAATTTGATAGGAGTACAAAAGAGTTTTAAAACGGTTTGTCTGGCATATTGATTTATATTCAAGGAAGACTTTTTGGCGCCGGAATTAGATTATTTAGTAGATTATTTTAATTTTTTAACTTAAAATATAAAGTAAAAATAATTATTATTATGGATGATTTTCTAAATTTTTCACAAAAAGATATGCAAAAAGTAGAGAAAAAAATGAATCTTTGATATTTTTGATATTAGATGTTGGCTTTTTAATTTTTTAGTGACCTTTAATTTTTTAGACTAAAAAGTAATATTGCCAAATGAGGTCTTTATTTTACTCTTTTTATCAGGATTTACAAAAAATATTTATTTAGCCATTTTTTAATGAGTGTTTAAAGAAATATTACTGATTTGGTCATGGAAGTTAATGGAT